GGAAAGATCCTAACTAAAATGCAACAAATGAATAGACTCTGCAAAAAAAAAAAAAAAAAAAAAAAAAAAAAAAAACAACAACAACAAAAAAAATAAACCAACCAAATTTAAAGCTGGGGCTGGGATCTAAACACAGAGTTCTCAAATGATGACACACAAATGGCTGAGAAATTATTTTTTAAATATTCTACTTCTTTAGCCATCAGGAAAATACAAATTAAAACTACTTTGAGATTTCATCTTACCCATCAGAATGTCTAAGACCTCAAAATCAAACAATGACAAATGAGGATATGGGAAAAGTGGAACACTTATTCAGAGTTGGTGGAGGTGTAAATAGGTGCAGTCATTGTGGAAATCAGTGTGGAGGTTCCTCAAAAAGCTATAAATGGATCTCCCATGTGATTCAGCCATACCACTCTTGGGCATATACCAAAAGGACTCTGTATCCTACTATCAAGATACCTATTTATCTATGCTCATTGCTATCATATTCAATATAGTCAAAACATGAAAACAACCTAAATGCCTATCAGCTGAATAATGGATAGTGAAAGTATGGTATATTTACACAATGGATTATTATTCAGCTCTTAAAAAATGATATTATGAGAATCGCATGCAAATAGATTGAACTGGAAACAATCATCTTGAGGCAATCTAGACCCAGAAAGATAAGCATCACATGTTCTCTCTCATAAGTGGATGCTAGCTTTTAATCTTTACATAGGTATGTTTCAGTTGAAAAATCCTTAGAAATCAGAAAACTAATAAAGACCCATGAAGGGTGGCTCCTAGGAGGAGAGACAGAATGTAGTGATGTAAAGGGGAAAGGGATAGGATGGGTCTAATAGGGTGAGGAATGGAAGGATAGAGCAAAAGAGGGGAGTGATGAGGGAGAACTAATACTAAAGGCTTTTTGAAAACATCATTTGGAAACCTACTATAGAAGTCTCTTTGGATATCTAGATATACAATATAAAAAGAGTTTAAATATAGTTACCCTATAACAGGGATTCAGTGGCCTTAATAAACGTCACAGGCTAGCAAAGACAAACCCAAGAGCTCCACTTCATTTTAAAATATGCTGTTTCCTACATGTTTTAATATTATTTTTTATTCTTTTTTAGATGAAGCGTATCATTACAGCTTTAACATACTCAATAACAATTTCCAGAGCAAAGATACAACTCTTTCAAAGGTGGCTATAATTTTTTTTTAATTTTTTAGATTCACAGTTGAATTAATACAGTTATACAATGTTGAACTCAGTATAAACCCTGTAAGACATAAAATTGAATGAGTTTTGAACCTTTAAAAAAGATCTCCATTTCATTTTAAACTATATTGTTGCTTACAGAAAGACTCATTGTGTTTGCTAATAACACAAAGAGGAGGGTCAACACAGAGGAAATATTTCATCCATGCTTCCAAGAAAAGCCAGCCATGGTTGAGTAGGACCTTTGACTTGTCTTCATATAGATGGAACTGGTAAAAGAAAGGACCCAGGAGATCCTCCCAAGCCCATGTGACCCCTGAGGAACAGACCCTCAAATGGCCTTAAGAGTAAAAATAAATTGGTTTATCTGGGCCAATTGTATGGCCTTAAATACCCAAAAGGAAAGTATAACCAAAAATTAAAGGGGCCAATATAATTTTTAAGAGTCTATATATATATATAAAGGCTACATAACAAGCAACAATGCCAGACAGGAGATACCTTCTTTGAGTTGTTGGCAGGGTGACCCAAGAGACTCCCAGACAGTAACCCAGCATAGAACTGGGAAACTGAACAGCAGACCCCAATCATATCTAAAGGAATTTTGACAACTGATTGCTGCTAGATGAGGAACAGCTGACCTTCCTAAAACATAGACCTCTAGATAGGCTGACTAGATTCACCAGATGCACAAGAACTAGGGAATGGCTGGGGGTGCCGACACCATGGCAGCCAGTAGCAGAGAAGACAGAGTAAAAGGGCTCTAGTTGGGGGAGGAGGCTATGGGAGGGTGCCAACTGGGAATTGGATATATAGATGAATAAGATTGGGATATACTGTGTGATATGCACACAAAAAAGTCAACAAAAAGTGAGTTATGTTTGAGGAGGAAGCATAAAAAATTTACATCATCTTAATTAGTAGAGGTGATAAACATTACCATTGAAATCTACCTGATGACTTTATATCCATACACAGGTGCCAAGGATCCAATGGCTAGTAATAATCTGATACATACAGATTAGAGACCTATGCACCAAGATCTAAGTGGACTTCTTCTTTTGGAGTTCTTAACCAGAGAGATCCCATAGATCCTCAAACAGTACTGGCTACTACCATTGCACTTGGTTTCTCACCAGAACTTTGGAGTAAGACTCTATTGCTAATGATACTACACTTCAAAGTAATGACTATGAGTTACATTTCTACTGGATAGCTTTTATAGTACTAGAAGTTGCTATACATGTCACTGGCAGACAAAGGTAATCAACAACCTTACCCAGCTGTGAACTGTAAACTTCAGTAACTGGCCTGGCAAGATAAGTGCTTGGTACAATAGCGTCTTGAATGTGATATGAGCAACAACCTCCTTCTAACTGGAATTAAGGCCCACTTTACAAGATGGAGTCCATACCTGACATTGTTATTAGGACAATAATCTGTGGCTAGCAAGTCACAGACCATATTACTACCATTCTGCTAAACAGATATAACAGTAAACTGAAGCATAATGACTTATTGTTATGTCCCTAGATTAGTGCATCTCTCAACTCTCATCACAGAAGGTTCTTCTTGTAACAAATGTCAATTAACATAAAGACCTACATCTGGTAAACATACAGACTGTG